TAGCATAGTATAGTATAGTATAGTTTTAATTTATAGTATATTATCTTATCTTATCTTATATAGTATAGTATACTAACAGTGCCTGGCAGCACATTATGGCACATTGTAGTACAGCTTCGGGACTAAGGTTTGCGGCTTCTGCTTATCATGGCTCAGGATTTATCAGCTGGCCTCGTGAAGGTGCGCCAGGGGGTTCTCTGAGCGGTAGTGGTGTGCATCGTTGTAGGCGTCGATCGACTGGCAGAGTTGAACCGAAGGCGAGTTCAAGATGCATGGGGTTTAGGAGCTTGGAGTTGAAGGCAGGTTTTCCCTTGCAAAGCAGCAAACCGCAAAGGCATAGAGGTGGGATCAACGGCCTGGGTTTCAAGACGTGCAATTGTGTCGAACTCCTTGATGGTGGCAGCACCTGAGAAGAAGGCTTCATGGTCAGGTCTCAGATGGCAAGGGGCTCAGAAAAAAGTAGAAGTTCGACATTGCAAGGCATAGTTGCAAAGATTTGATGTGCATCGCAGGAAGCGCGCGCAAAATGAAGTCTGCCTCTGAAAGATGCGAAAAATCGGTCTAAGTGATGGTAGCACCGGAACGTTGGAGTCGTGCCGCACTGTAGCCTTCGTCTCGCATGTATGACAGCTGGCGCGCAATCCTAGCACGAGACCCCTGCAACTTGCACTCGTTAGTCTAATGGTGAAGGCCTCTATATTGCACCCTCTGCAACCCTAAATCTTAGGAAAGCACTGCCACCAAGATCTCAGATCCCGGCGCAGCCGTGTCAGCGCGCGGAACACAGCCCGCTTGATCTCAGCCACTTCGGCCGTCTCGACGGCATCAACCAACGTGTCCTGCAGGGTCTCAAATCATGTCTGGATTCCGAGTTTTGCGCCCTGGGCTTTGAGGTTGAGTGGCTGAAGGCGTCCCTCCACGATCCTCCTAGTGCTTCAACAACTGAATCCTCCCTTGCCGCCACGAGTCGCCGCCTTCTCAGTTTCACAGGGCCCTCAAAAGCCCCCCAAAACCCTAAACCCTAAACCCCTAAACGCGGGGAACCCCAAAACTCTAAAGGCCGTTACACAGGGGTCTGAATGGTTTAGGGCTTTAGGGTTTTAGGGTTTCGGGATTGCGATTTCAGGCTGGAGGGTATGTTGTACCGCACTACCGCACTTGTATTAGGACCCGGAAGGGATTCTATTCCTAATTACATACTCCGACCCCTATGTATTACTGTCGCGCCGAAGCAGTTTCAGCCGACCGGACGTAAGAAGACTAAACCCCAAAGCCCGCGACCTGATGCATCAAAATGCTAGCCCGTGCTGAGCCATAGAATCTAATGTAGGGGCCTTAGTAACTACAATAGGGTTTTGGGGTATGTTGTACTGTCATTTTAAGAAGGAAGCCCCAAAATGGTATAGGTATATGGGTAATTACTTAGGCCCCATGTTACATGCCTTCGAGCCCTCGTCAACACTGAACAATTTACTCATCCAGCATTGTATATGTAGGTGTATACACATACGTAAAGACATATTCATGTATGCACACATTCTCTCTATTTGTACTTCTATTTGCATGTCCATGTAATTCCATATTGTTACAGGTACATCTATGCAGGTATGTTTATGGGTGTAGTTACAGCTAAGCCAAGCGGTATGCACATAGCTGTTGCGTAGCTGCTCCCCAAACCCTAAGCCTTGAGCCCTAAACCCTAAACCCAAAACAGTTCCATTACTTATGTTATGTGCCCAGGGGGCTCCTGGCTCTTCGAAGCCTGGTCTTGAAGCTCAGTTGCGGTGTCCTGCAAAGGGAGACACGAGCAGTCGGTTCACAGCAAAGGTGTAGGGAAGGAAGGGCCTTAGTATACGTACGTGTGTGTGTGTGTGTGTTTTTGTATCTGTCTGTGCGTGCGTGTGTGTGTGTGTGTGTACACGTACGCCCGTACGCACGTAGGTATGCATGTATTCAATGTATTCAATGTATTTATGTCTGCATGGATGCATGCAGGCACGCAGGCATGGATGTGTGGATGAATGGATGAATGGCTGGCTGGATGGATGGATGGAAGGACAGATGGATGGATGGATGAATCGACTGATACGTACGTGTACATACGTACATGTGTACGCACATACTTACACACAAACAAACAAACATGCATACATACATACATACATACATACATACATATATCCATCCATACATACATACATACGTACATACATACATGTGTATACTGTATAATGACCAGGGATTGGAAATTGAGGGTTGTGCCGCGCTTGACGTTTTGGGAGCCCAAAAAGGCTTCAGGAAACTCGGCGCCGAATGTCTGGGCCTGCTTGCCGAAAGGTGTGATGCGGTTGGTGATCGGCTTTTCCTTGGGAGCCTGCTCATGGCCAGACGAAAAAAAGAATCTCTTTCCAAAACTCTTGATGGCTTGAGGGCGGCCATGGGGACATGTAGAACATCTTCAAGTCCTAAGCCCTGAACTCTAAAGGCCATAGCCTTAAATAGCTTCCAGGATTCTTGAAGGTATGGGCTTGCTCAGGCATTGCCTCTTCTGGAGCACCACTGTGCCTGGGCCACGGCAGCACGAAGGGCTTCAGAACAGCGAAGAAGAAGATTGGTTTCGAGTTTAGGGATGGGTTTAGGGTTTAGGGCATAGGGCTCAGGGTTTAGAGTGGGGCCTGGCCCTTCTCACGGACAGCGCAGGATGAAAAGCCAAGCTGTAAAGCTGAGCTGGCATCCGGTTCTGAGGATCCGGCTGGACAGCCTCTGTAACACATCCCAAAGCCTCAGGGCATTGAGACGCTTCTGGCCGACCACTCTTGGAGATGCTACAGTGAGGATAGTTCCACATCAGTTTTCCGCAGGGCTGCTCTGCTTGGGTCTTGCAAATGCGTGCCCTGAAACCGATAGAAATACAGGGTGAATCAAATTAAATTGCGGATTATGTGAAAAGCTCCTCAGGAACCGCCGAGTGCAGACTCGATCGTTGAGTAGTCAGACAAATAATCCTGAAACTCTTCGAAGCTCACTTCGCCATCGGCATTTGCATCGATAGCTTCGCGGCAAATCTCGAACAACTCGTCGGAAAGATTCCGGTGCCCCTGCTGCTTCTCCAAAAGATCTTCCAAGAAGAGCCGGAGCTCGTCCATGTCCAAGTGGCCGCTGTCATCTTGGTCATAGCGCCTCCACATGTCCTTGAAGTCCTCATGCGAAAGCTGCCCTAAACCCTAAAACCCTAAGACCCTGAACCTCAATCCCGAAACTTTAAGCTGGCACCAAACCCCAAAACCCCAAAACCGCCCCAAAGAAGTCCTCATCCGAAAGGCTCTTGAGCTTGTACTGTCCCAGGAACTGCTCGCTGCTGAGGGACCGGGAGGCTGCACTCAAGTACGTGGTGGATTGCATCTCCATGAGCCGGCTTACCTCATTTCACTTAGGGGTCTAGGCTTCAGGGTTTTCTTTGGTTTAGGGTCTAGGACGTGGGGGGTCGGGAACTGCAACGACTTCGGGCCAAGATAACCAGAAACTGTAGACCTTTCCCAACATAATCTCGATACCTCTATCAGCTGATTATCAGTTTTCCTAGCCCCGGGCTACCGCATCTCCCTTCCACCATGGAAGGCAAGCAGCCGTGCGATCCCAAGCGAAAATCTCATCTGCTATTGAAGTTTTTCGCTCCTCCTCAGAGACATAGAACAACGGGATCGGATCGAGCTCTGCTGTGCAGACCACTTTGGTATGACACTCATAAAGAGAATCGATGAGAGTGATGAAGCGTCGCACTTGATCGCGCTCTTGCATGGTCAGTTTGGGGATGTTTGCCAAGAACACTGTATGGAAAGCATGCCCGATGGCCAGATAGTCTGCTGCCCCTAGAGCCTTGTTGCACAAGTCGGAAAAGTCAAACCAGGCTACATCGGACATCTCTGCACAGCGGGGCACAAGGACCTTGCGCCCCTGGGCCTCCACCTGTGCGCCGGTACGGAACTTGCCCTGGCATATCCTGG